ACAGTTTATAAGAACAAAATACTGGAACTGTGAAAGAAAAACATCATATTGTACCTAAATTAGCCAATAGTTTGTTTACCACACTAACAACCCGCCCCAAACAAATAAATAAAGCTTTGTAAACTATTCTGCCTACAAAGCATTTTGTCTTGTACCCATTTACATTAGACTCCCAATCTACAACACCTCAGAGAAAACAGAAACAAGTTTTGCATACAAGGATAACGTGCTGGGGTTTTGGGGTGTGCAGACTGCTAAAAGAGCTAATGATCTAACTTTTCACAGTTGAAGAGGGTTTAAATTTAGTTTATATAGATCAAAAGTGAAATCAGTTTACTTGTGTTATCTCGGCCCACCTCATAAAACCACCACACTGTTTGATGCATTTGGCAGTTCTCTTTAGAAGTGATCCATATCTAAAATAGCAGAAATATTTGCTAAACCAGGATTATGGCACATTAGCAGAACAAGGCGTGGGGACTTGCCAAAGATTTGTACATCTAACTTTATCAATGTTATTTGGGTAACCACTAAAATCTCAACCTAAAACTTAGATCTGCAGCTGAGAAAAAAAGTGTGCTTAAAAATTACAACTATATAGCAGGATCACATAGAAAGCTCCCACTATGCTTTTTTTACCTGATCTTTATGTTCAAGAAATGCAGTTTCAAGTTCTTGCCACCCAGATACCGGGACTAGTGTATATTGTACTTGATCACATTGAAACAAAGCCTATAAAGAAAGCAAGGCTTTAAACAAATGAGAAAGAACAGCAGCAACTACTATAACTCTGGCTCATCCAAGTCCTCCTATTGCTCTTTAGAGGTACATTGAAAGTATCCTAAAATATATGTCTATATAGATATTTATGTATGAATTATCAAGTCTCAGTATCATGTTAGGAAAAATATTAGTTAAATAGTCAGGAAAATAAAAAATTACAACATTTAAAACTGAACTAATTTTATAAAAATTTCCCTTTCACTTTTCTTTCTACATATTCCAGTATAAATCTTTTAAATGTGATTCTCCCCCCCACATCACACACATTCAGCCCCCCTTCAGTTGTAGTATATAATTATAATGAACGTAAACTTACTTGGAGTATTTTACAAGCACATAATGCATCTACATCTGAAGCAACAAGAAGAAGAACACGCTGAAAAAAAATTGAAGACAGTATTAATATATTAATTAGTTCATATGGCTTGCTATTGCATAGAAACGTAGACATATTAGGTCATTTTCAAAAGCATCGCTTTCCACCAGCAAAATTTAAAATCTTTCAATGCAACAAACAATACAAAAGAAATAAAGTACGGATGAGAGCATCATATTATTGTTATTTATATAAGGTACTCAATTAAACAAGTGGAGACTAATTTTTTAAAAAGGGATCTACCGTTGATCTCCCATATCTGACAATTGTTTCACATGGTACGTTTCATATTAATGTCTCCAAAGACAGATTTCTTTCTGCTTAATCTAGCCTGTTAGCATAGCCTACGAGAATCACACAACAGATTGCAAAGTGTAAACAAACCTGTGCACACATGTTGGTTCAAACATGTCATCTTGTCTTGTTTGATTGTACTGGGTTGCTCAGTAAAGGCTTATCTAGCAATGAGCTCTATGCAGGCAAATGCATGCACACAGCCCCTTTAAATCAGTGAGGGTCTGTCTGGACAGAGATCATGGCAGCATTGGGAACTAAATCAGCACTGTTTTTGAAGGAACACTAACAGCTTGAAGAGTCATATTATCCATGTGAAAACATTGCTCCTTCTAGTACAATTAACATTTAAGACCAGTTAGAGAAGTGAGGACATTTCCCACAACACTTAGTTTTCTTGTGTTTAGCCAGTTTTTCCAATTCCAAGAATAGTCACATAAACTAGGCTCTATCAGAAACATAATTGTTTAAAAAAATATTTTTTGTAAATTTCAAGCTGACACTGTCCCTTTAAATTTCAGAGCAACACAAAAAGATTTAAGTAGTCCACCTCACAGTAAGGTAAAAGTTACACCACAAAGACCTTGTCTCTCCTACAAAATTGTCATATCATGAACCCATGCCCAGGATCTCTTCCTGTTAACCATTTCAGGAAACATGGTTAGGTTGGCCTATGTGGCATGGTCATAATTTTTGAAAGTTCAAAACCGTTCAATCCTAGAACAGTTTTTATCCATATTTAATGTAATGTATATATAATATACACACAATGGTGTAAGAAACCCTAGTTTTCAGTAAGATCTTGACTAGAGTGTCAGTACTTGGGGAAATTGGTAGCATAAATAGGGCTTGAGACAATATTCAAGATGAACACGGTTTAGTTCAAACATCATCACTGTTCTTTTCAGTGTTGGCCACAATGAACTTTTTCTTAAATTCTTCCAATGTCGGACAATCACCAGCACAGCTTCACTGGTGGGAGAACTAATGTAGGCTGCCCAGTAATGTTTTCATCTAGACGTACTCTGATCAGTTTGACAAACTGATACTAAAAACGCTGGAAGCCCATCTACACTAAACCTATCATCATGGAAGGCTGACTGCAAGATAAAGGCCAACAGAGATGGAATATAGAATTAAAAGTCTGTGCAACCAATGCTACAGTGATTTTCAAAAAAGTTCTAGCAATATCATGTTTTTGCAAGAAAGATTTAACAAGAAGCTCTAAATAACTCATAAAAAAGGTCTCCACTGTGAAAAGGCTTCCCAGTTTCTAGTTGGAATCCTTCTGTTATCACAGACAGTTAATAAATCTGTTTCTGTATCTTTAAATCTGTATCTCCAAATGTAAAGATTAACATGTCAATGTTTTCAGCATTCACTAGTCTGAAATTATGTTAAGCATTTATCAGAAGCTGGTAATCTTATGACCATTGTAAATTAATTTTATTACAAGATTATTCTTTAAACTTTTTGCAATCCAAGCATAGCTTTCAAATAAGTAATTTCTAATCCTAATTTAATGTAACACGATATTCTACAACAAAAAGGATAACCCTTGACAGTGCTTAATGCTGTCATCAACTAGTGCTTAGACATGAACTAGTTAGTGTCATTTTATAGCACTGAAGATATCTCAGGGCAATCAGACTTTGGCCATGTCTACATTACAAAATTATGTGACTCACGTTGGCATACAGCCACTGTAGTTATAAAATCACTTGTGTGTGTGCACACTTGGCTCCTTGTATCAGTGGTGCGCATCATCACCAGGAGCGCTTGTATTGATTGTATTGTATTGTCAGCGTGGGGCTCTGTGGGATGGCCATAACGATCTATGTAAGCAATGCAGTGACACTGTATTGATCTAATTACATCAACTGTGACTCTATGCCTGACACTTAGGGAGGTGGTATTATGAAATTGGCATAGAGAAGCATTGACTTCAGTGAGTGCCAGGAGCCAAATTTAAGTGAAGACATTTGTACAGCGAAGTCAATGCAAGGCAGCTTACATGGAGCTAACCCTGTAGTGTAGGCTATGTCTTCACTGAAAACAAAGATGTATTTTTACATCAAGACAGCTAACTCGATGTAAAACTCAATATAAAATCCTAGTGGACACAAGGCTTTTACCTCCATATAGCTAGTTGTGTTCAATCTTACACTCCCCACATGGGGTTTATCTCAACTAGCTACACTCAGGTAACAGCTACAGCTCCTTGTCTTCTCGAGATCGCGATGTCCATATCACCAACTCCAAACATCCCAACTCCTTGTTGCAGATTCTGCCACTTTTAGAGCCTCTGACTGCTCCGGGGGCACTACAAGAAACCCAGGCAACAAAGCAAAGCACACTCTGAGTTGTCATGTGCCCGGCTGGGGACTCCTACTCCACTACCCCACCGAGAGCTGCGGAGCCAGATGTTCAATGCAAACGCGACCAGCTCTGTGGAGTTCGGTGTGAAACCAGCACCGGGGGCGGGGAGGCAGCGCGTACCACATCTTGGCCAGGAAGCTGACAGCAGGGCAATGCCCAGCTCCCTGGGTGACACAGTCCCGCCCTGTCTGGCCCGTGCGGAGCGAAGATCCATCCCCACCCCAGGGGCGCCGTGGCAAAGCGCTGTGAGGAGGAAGGCGCGGGGCTGGAGCACCAGGGAGCCGCGGGATCCTCCACAATCTAGCCAGGCGCCCCCCTCCACCCCCTTCGCGAGCTCACCGCCCCCCAAGCGCCCCCAGGCGGGGAGACAGACAGGCTCGGCATGCCCAGCCCCGGGGCTACTGGAGCCCGGCTCCCCATGGCCAAGGGGTTAGCAGGCCCCGCTCAAGTTTCGCGCGCCCCCCCGGTTCGGGCTTCACCCTCCCCCGCCCGGACAACGCTCACCTGGGTCACGATCACCTCGTAGAACTCCTTGCGGAAGTCGGAGAGGAACATAGCCGAGACCGGGCCGCTACCGCCGCGCTACAGGGAGCTGGGAACAGTGGCGGGATGGCTGCAGCACGGGCGACTGCTCCGTTCTCCGCCACAGTCAAAGCAGGCGCCAAATCGCGTCCTTTCCCATTGGTCTCAGCTTCCTGGCCACCACCCAATAGAATTCCACTACTTTGTATCTCTGCAGTGCTGATTGGACTATCTTTCCGATCGTCTCAGCCCTCCACCAACCACATTGCGATTAGAGTGATCACCGAACCGGGCAATGGGCCAATCCGCACGAAGTCCTCCTGGAACCGCCATTTTGTTTGTCCGTGTACAGCGCCATGTTTGATATGGGCAAGTTTCCCCATCAGCTCCCCCCCATATAAGCTATAAACAAACCACTGGATATAAAAATATAACTGTTTCAGGAGTGAATAGGCAAATAAATTATTTACAGAAAAAACTATGTTGACACCTGTGAAGTTCCGCCTTCCGCCCTTTCCCAAAATGGCCGCAGCGGAAGTCTCTTGACTGCCTCAATGGCGGCTAGTGTCAACACGTTGCATTCTGGGAAATGTAGTTTTGTGGGGACAGTGGGCCACAACCTCCAAACATTTTTCGCCCCTTTGCGATGAAAGTGCTCAGTTTTGCTGATTGCCTTCAGCGCTGTTAAAATAGCGCCACGCCTGTAGAAATTAAAAGTCACCCTAAGAGGAGAGGGGCTGGGCTAAGGGATTTCCCCCTCCCTGCCCACCATTTCCCTCAGCCAGCCGATTTCCTGTGGGGGAGGGGAAGCAGCCACTGCATTGATCCTTCCCCGAGCTGTCTAAAGGCGCTTCTGCGGTGTTCCTCGGTGAGATCTCCGAGAAAAGGGGCAGGAGCAGCCGCCGCCGCCAGGATGGTAAGTGCCTGCAGGGGCTCTTGTGTGGGTGTCTGAGAGCTGGGGGAGAGACGGCGGAAGCTGCGGAGTCACCCTGGCTGGATTGTTTACGCAGGCAGGGAGGCGCTAGGGGAGCGTGTACCCGCCAAACGCCCCCCTGCTCGGCGAGAGGGTCGGGCTTTGTCCCCCTGGCTCTAGGGCAGTGAGGGGGACCCTTCAGGGTGTCTGTCTGGGACATATGTAACCCCCCCGGCCTTCCTCTCAGAGAGAGCCAGCTGGGACAGGAGAGATTTTTAAAGCCCTCTCTGGAAACTTCCCCCCCACCCCCAGCAAAATCTTTGCTCCCAAGAGCAGAGAATTGCTTAATAAAGCACCCCCAATTTAGTGTCCCCACTCACTCCCATACGGTTACAGGGTGGGGTATGGATGGCTTTTTAGAGTAGTAATATTTGGAGTAATCTTAAAGAGTTTGCAATCTGTGTGATCCTGGGCATTTCCTGGGAGGTGCTGACTCAGTGTTCTCCCCTCCCTTTGGTTTACAAGTGAGGATGCTACCCCACTGGATACCTAGGAATGATTCTCTCTCCGCGATGATGAAGACTTCAGCCTGTGTTTATCCATAGGCTGTATGCACTGTCATCTCTTTAATCATTAAAATAAAAGTGCAAGGGTACAAAAATATCCTTCTGCCACACCTATGTTGAATATCTCTTGTCCTGTGCTGAAGAGTTAAAGAAATGACAATCACTTGTATTCCTTGTTCAATTTAAATTAATAGTTTGCACTGTACACTTGCTGTAGCACTGAACAAATAAATGGTTTTTAGGATGTGTATGCTTATTTCAAATTGAAGTCCATGTCTGTTCTACAGTTTGTAGAATCAATCAAAATTGATTGTGGTCATAAATTACAGATGAATTTTTCACTTTCTTATTTTGTGTTTCATTGGTACATACATATGTCTAAACCATATTTATATTAGGAAAAATAAGCACACAGCATTGGTTAAGATGACTGCAATGGAGAACAACCTCCTGAAAATCTTAGTCTGCTGGTGTCTTAGTAAAGTGGATCGATGTTTGCTAACACACTGTCATTTTTCATCCCCCAGTTTTCTTTTAATATGTTTGATCATCCAATCCCCCGGGTTTTCCAGAACCGCTTTTCAACCCAGTATCGTTGCTTCTCAGTATCCATGCTTGCAGGACCTAATGACAGGTCAGATGTGGAGAAAGGCGGGAAGAGTATGTGCATGTTTTATTTTGAATAATAGACTGATGAATGCTATATGTGAATGTTCAGTAGTATTGTTTATGGCAGGCAGTTGCAGAAACAGTATAAGGCCACAAACATAATAAGCATGGAAACATATTGATGGCTTTGTGACTTGAATTAAAGGGGCACTTGCAGATTAAATAAATAATCTCTTCTCATGTTAATATCATTTAATTGATGTTGGAGTTCCTGATTTAACTCCATGTAAATTAAAGGCCCATTATTTTTAAAAACAAATGTTTTTAGTTGTCACTAATAAAAGAAGCCATTTAAGCAAATAAGATTTAAAAATCTGTTGTCTTTGCCATATATGTTTTTTGCTTCCTCTTTTGGCTTCACTCAGCTTCAATAAGGAGAATAGATTTGTCAGCTCCACTTTCAGGCTCCCATATGTTAGTCAAATGCTGTGTTTGAGTCGTCGGCACTTGGGTTGTTTAACCAAATAAAATTACTTTTGGGAATATTTTTGTTAGTGTATAAGCTTTTGTAAAACTTTCTAACTTCTCCCATTTGCCCCACTCAGAATCTACATTTTGGATTAAAACTACCAGTTATTGTTTGTCTAGATTGATTCCAATAGAATTTGTAGCTCACAAAGTTGGAACCTGGGTAAAATGCTGTCTCCTAAGAAGGAATGATAAAACTGTACACTGCAGTTGCTTTCTGTAGCCATGCTATTCCTAATCTTATTGTAACTTTCTGATTAATTTCTGCAGTAATTATGCCACCATCTGCCTTGGATCAACTCAGTAAGTAATGTTTATTCTACTGTAAGAACGCTAGAAATATTGTGTTGTATGTCTGTGTAGGCAAACACCAAAAACTGCTTTATGTATCCATTAAGAAGATGTGATTTAAATCAAGATATACCAGGAAAATCCATATTGAGGGTAAAAATCATATGGGTTTTTTTTAACATATTTTTTTGTCAAAGGGTTTGGTGTTCCCTTATCTACACATAGTTCAAACGCTAGGCCGACAGTGTCAGCTTTCTAACAGCGGCTTGACACCATATCACACTTCCATTAATGAAATGAGCGTCCTTTTTTTTGCAAATAATTTGGTGTGTTTGCCAGGATATTGGCTCATTCTCTTGCTAATGTTCAGTCTCTGCAACTTTATAAATCTGCCATGAGCTTTATAACAAATTGTATCTTTTTCCCCTTCTGCCAGGTCGACTTAACATTACGTACCCTATGTTGTTTAAGCTGACTAATAAAAATTCAGATCGAATGACGCATTGTGGTGTGCTAGAATTTGTGGCTGATGAAGGCATTTGTTACCTTCCACATTGGGTAAGTGGCCTTACACCAAACTGTCAGAATTTAAAGTATAGGATGAATGTGGTGTTGGTGAATATTACAGTAGAATATTTGCTGTAATTGCATTTCACTTGCACAGTCAGCACCTTTTAGTGTTTCAGTCACAGCTAAAGCTTTCCTCTGAGTTAATCAAAGTAATTTGCTGCATGTACTACGTTGTTACTGAGACATAAAGGATCAAGAACTAGTTTTTTCCTGTAATTATACCCAATGCAAACCCACAGAATTCAGGGCAGAATATGACCCAATATATTTTACATATTCTCAAGGGAAATTCCATCTAAAAGTTACCTGTTTCTGTTGCATAGATACTGGTATAGTGTCCTGTCTTTGTCACCAATGATTTTTTGCAGATGATGCAGAATTTGCTTCTGGAGGAAGGAGGCCTGGTGCAGGTAGAGAGTGTTAATCTTCAAGTGGCTACTTACTCAAAATTTCAACCACAAAGTCCAGATTTCCTTGACATCACCAATCCCAAAGCTGTGTATCCTTTCACTTCATCCCAGAGGAAGCAAAAGAAGGGGCTTTGGCACTAGCTTACCCTAAAAAGGGGAGGAAAGGCTGGGGCAGCTTTTCAAGCATTGTTCATATACGTCCAATACCAGCTTACTGTTACTAGTGCCACCTCTGAAAGCTAAGAGGTAAGAGAATGGAATCTGGTAGGAGCCAGAGCAAGTGTGGAGAGATGTGAATTCCCTGCAAAAAGTGTAGCATTCTTCTAAATAAAGGCCTAATGAAATGGGCCAAATCCTGTAGTCCTTGCTCAGGCAAATATTCTTTGCACCAAAGAATAAAAGCCTAAAGTAGGGAATAAAGGATTTTTCCTTAAAATTACTTAATGAGAGCTGCTAGGTACTTGGCACATCTGAAAAATCAGGCCACTGGTTCAGGAGCCTAACTGTAGAAGCTTTTTTTTTTTTTAATTCTTGGCTTTTATTTTCCAGACAGTCTGAATAGGTAAATTGTGGTCTGAAGCACATGCCTTGTTTTACTGTCTAGAGAACTTTATTGGGTTTCCCTAAGAACATCTATAAGGGATGTTGAATGCCTAATGCTTGTTAAACTGTCCATGGTACTTATATTTTAAGTCACATGTAAGACAGACCTGGAACCAGAAAATATGAATTTGTTGATGTATAACTTGAATATTGCACTGAAAACAACCATACAGTTCTTCTTAACATAATTCAAAGATTAGAAAATGCTTTGAGAAACTTTGCTTGTCTAACCACTGGGGATGTTATTGCCATCAACTACAATGAGAAGGTACGGTATCTAGTGTAAATAACACTATCTAACTAAACCTGTGTACAGTCCCAGGAAACATAAATCCTGACTCTGCATATGGTTCGCATGGAACCCTAAAAAGACATTTATAGAATCACATAATTTACAGATACTCACATTTGAGTGTCAGTAGTAGCTGAACACGGGACACGCCATGTGTTCAGCTTAAACCACTACCCTGGTCCATCCATTTTTCCGCACATATGCGTAAATGGACACTTTGGGAGCTAAATGTCAGGAGCAAATAGACCCAAACAGGAAAGACGTAAGAGTTCCGAAAACAGCCCCAGAGGGACTTTGGACATCTCAGGGAGGCAGGTTCATAGGTGGGACCTTACCCAGGGCCTTGTGGACCCCATGGCAAGTGGGACCCAGATTTTCAGGACCTACAAATGCAAAAGTCTATAGTAGCTTCACCTACTTTTTTTTTTTTTTTTTAAAGGTCATTATTGAATTCTGAGAATGAATAATGCAATCCGTTCAGGAGCCTTGGTGCTGGTCTTAATATTAAATTCTGACTTCTGACACCTTTGATTACTGAACAACTTTTATATTTTCAAATTTTGCTTCTGGGCAAAGTACTTATTTGCCAGGTTTCAGCTCAGTTTGGATAACTTGTGGGTAAATCATAATCCATTTCAGACAAAGGATTATTAGGAGCAAAAGGGCTTCTTATCAGCAGTAAAACTATAGAGGACCATTTTAACATAAATGAGTACAAGACAGTGCAGATATCCTACCTCACCTAACTTGGAGCTGTTTTTTTGGCAACTGGAAATTAGGAGATTCTGAGCCAGATAGCTCACCTCTGGCCAAATAAATCCCTCCAGCTCTATTGAGGGGCAATGGAAATCTCTAATGTAGAAGAAGTCTTCCATTTTGAAATATAGTCATGATGGGGGCACCCAGAGGCCCTGATCTGATTGGAAGTCTTGTTGTGCTACATGATGTACAAAATTAGAGGTAGACACAGTCTCTGATCTGAAGAGCTTATGGTTCATTGAAATGAATGCTCTCTGATGTGAGAATTTTGCCCAAGTTTCTTTAATCATTAATTTGCACACTAAGAGGAACAGCTTTATATTATGCATGCTCCTGTTTCAGATCTACGAGCTTCGGGTAATGGAGACCAAACCTGATAAAGCTGTGTCCATCATAGAGTGTGATATGAATGTAAGTTGAAGTCTTTGTGGCAGGATCTTTATTTTCACTTAAATTATTCTTTTGAGAAGGGGCATCTGATCATGATAATGCTGCATTACAGAAATATAGCTATGCTGTGGGAAGGTGAGCATTCAGTAATACAGATCCTGTAACCATAAGTGAGTTGCAAGATGAAGGCCACAGGTCATATACTAGGGTTGCCAACTCTGCCTGAAGCTATTCCGGGAGATTCCTTCCCCTCCCCCCCCATATGACGTAATGTCAGGTTCTTAAAATATCCTATTAAAATTTCCTGGATTGCTTTCAATAATCACCAGGAGTCCAGCAATTCCAGGCCAATCCTGGAGGGTTGGCAACCCTATCATATGCCCGTAGGTGGCTGAAGTGCCTATAATTCTTGTAGAGCCTTATTTGCAAATTATTCTCTTGGGCATTTTGTTTTATGTACTTATGAAAGATGCAGGTCCATTTGACAGCCTGGAGACTGAAAAGTTAGAACAGCTGCAGCGTGATGTTCCATGCTGCCCTGCCAGTATATTACAACTATGTGCTGAAGAAGCATCTTTTAGAGATGAGTCTCCCACATTCCAATTGTAACATTTTTGCTAATTGAGCTTTTTTAAAAGATCCATTCCCTCTAGTTCAGAATAGAATGGTCAAGTTTGTAGCGATTTTAGGGATGGCATATGGTGATGATTAAAAAAAATGTGGCTCTGTTTAAAAAAACAACAACATTTCTTGCTATAAAAACAGGTGGATTTTGATGCACCTTTGGGATACAAAGAACCAGAAAGACACACACAACATGAGGAGAGCACAGTAAGTTAAGTTCATTCTTGTTCTCTACAGTGCATTCTCTCTAGTTGCCTTCTTTTCTTACTGTGGCTGTTATGGAGCAAAGATCACTAATGGACGCCTCTTTCTGAAAAGGTCTTGAGATCAGATAGTTCAGCCATACATTTTATTTCCAAGATGCTCTTGCCTACACTTCTTTTCCTTCCTCACCCCACCCTATGGAGATTGTTCATGTAGAGCAACCTATTTCCAGGACAAAAACTTTGTCAAAAGAATTCATGTTCAGTGAGTTTATAAAATACCTGTAAAAGTTTCATTCTGTAGGAAATCCATGAAACAATTCATGTTAATTTTGCATAACACAGCATGAATGTAATGAAACAGCTTGTTTCTCCTCTCCTTCCTAGGACGTTGAAGCAGACCACAGTGGCTATGTGAGCGACCTAGGATTTCGTGTAAGTATCTTCTTTCGGTCTGGTAGTGTTGTGGGCAAATCTATCAGCTGGGAAGGTGAAAACATATTCCCTGCAACTGCACAAATCCAGTTCCTTTGCTCAGGGCTTTTCTTTTACTTAGAAACAAAGATGCAAAGCAACCCAGTCTCGCCACCTCACAAAGGTTTGTCTTAGTCCTCGTCTCGCCTTTCCCGGCTGAGGCTTCCCCCAGCCAGCTCCTGCTTGCTGCAGGTGTTTCCTTCTCAGGACTTCCAGGTGTGACAGGCCCCTTTCCTGGGCTTGGGCTGTCCTTTCCTGAGGCTAGGCTGCCTCTATTTATAGCAGATGCTGCTTACAACATGTAATCACACAACAGCCTGGCCTTGGAACACTGAGATGTGCACATACACCCTAGGACCAACACTAGAGTCCTGTGGTTTTCACAAATGTGAAATAACACCACAAAATAAAATGAAAACCTCATCCTGGAGCTGCTGTGCCTGTGGCTCCTCTCCCACAGGGCAGGGTCTGGTTCCATGCTCAGGTTTGGCCTGTTCACCCTTCCGTCATCATGTCATCCCCAGAGCGGGGAGCTGGGCCCAGCCCTGTGGGACGGGAGCCACTGCTGCAGGGTGAGTGCAAGGTGGGCTCGCTCTGCAACCCCCTGTCCCCGCCTCAGAACCTCCCAACCCCTCCAGGGGAAAACATGTAATCTCCCACTCCAGCGTGGATAAAACGAAATAATACAAACCTATTAAAAAAAATAAAACAAAACAAAACCTTAATGTATTTAAAAAAAAAAATCACAGGGTGCTAATCAACTTGTTACACCTCCCAAAAGAAGTGTATAAGATTCTGTGTAATAGGTTCTCCCTGCAAGGCATTTTCTCAGGAGCTTCTGATATATAAATACAGCAGTAACTTGTGTTCTGAATCCATAGTAAATATTACCACTCAAGATTCTGATGGCTTGTGTGTAATGGAAGTAACACTTAAGTATCTAACAGTACCTGAAGGAAGTGAATTTTGTTTATAAACTGTTACTGGGAGCACAAACAAGGCGTCCCCTCTGGACATTTGCTTAGCACTGGCACAGCTGTCCAAGAGGCTTGTATTATCAATAACTAAGATTTAGAGTAAAAGTTTCTTCTATTGTAAATGTCATAAAATGATGAACTGACTTGTGAAACAATCATGCTTGTGTAGTATTCATGTGTTTAGCCGTTCTGAGATTCAGCCACGTACATCTTTAAGCCAGTCTGACATTCCATCCAGTAGTGTGCAGGGATCTGTGCACATTGTACAACAGACCCCCATATATACTTTTACAGAGGTACTCTTGCAAATTACATGCAATTAATGGTGTGGGAGTAGTTCCAGTGTTCTAAGCTAGGGCACAAATCGCAGCCCTAGGAAAAATCACTGCCCCTGGGCCTTCAGTCTCTGTCCCAGTCCAGTTGTCTAGACCCTGTACTATAGTCACTGTCCTTTCAGTCAAGGAAGACCAGAGGTAAATTCTTTCTTGTAGCAAGAGCAGTTTAGGTTGGACATTAGGAAAAACTTCCTAACTGTCCAGAGTGGTTAAGCGCTAGAATAAATTGCCCAGGGAGATTGTGGAATCTCCATCATTGGAGATTTTTAAGAGCAGGCTAGACAAACACCTGTCAGGGATGGTCTAGATAATACTTAGTCCTGACTTAAGTGCAGGGGACTGAATTAGAAGACCTCTTGAGGTCCCTTCCAGTCCTACAATTCTCTAAGCAGTCAATGCTATTTGATTGGCAGGAGAGGTGCTGGCCAGTGATGGTGGGTGCTCTCTACTGTTCCTGAGGAGCCAAGAGATGGGAACTGAAATACCAGTCTAATCTCTGGCATGGCAGTGCAGAATACTAACACTAGTCCACTAGATCAGCACCAATCTTGAATCAGGCCCTGTGCCCATTTTAGCCTTTTTTAAAAAACAAAAATACATGCTTGCAGTGCTCTTCTTTAACAAGAAGGTGGAACGTGTAGAAATGACTTTCTGCTTTATACCTGTAGGCATTCTCTGGCTCTGGGAACAGGCTAGATGGCAAGAAGAAAGGTGTCGAGCCTAGTCCCTCGCCAATTAAACCAGGAGACATTCGAAGGTTAGCCCATTTCATTCCGATTTCTACAGGTGGAAGGTTAATGTTTGAACAAAATGAATCATTCTTGATGTGTTTGTCTGCTTCTGTAATATCAGTGAGAACCTGATTTCCCCAAATGTATTTAATATACGTTGCTTTGAGAGTGGTCAGATAATCACATGGACTCAGATCTGTAAAGGTATTTAGATGTTGCTGCTCTCAGCATTGCAATGAACGCCTAACTGACTAGGAGCCTATATTTCATTTTCAAAAGGCATTTAGGCACTTGAGTATAAATCCCATTAACTATCAGTATAAATACTTTTACAAAACTTGGCCATGGTCTTGTTTTGTTTCCTGACAGGATAACTGCAAAAGCATTTCTAAACAGGGCAGATTGATTTAACTCAAAGCAATGTAAATCACCAATTTTAATCAGGATTTAAATGAGCAAGCAGGAAACCTTGATTTAAATCATCAATTTTAATTGTTTGCATCTGTACTTTTAGTTATTTTCCTAAAGAAAAGTTGATTCTCATAGAATAGTAACCATTAAAACACGTTGATTTGCAATTAAATATAGCCTTTACACTAAATTTGGTTCTTCTTGCTAACCAGGAAGCTATGGCTTAATTTACATTCAGATTCTTAATCTTTACAGTTTTTATTATTTTAGAAAACTGTGAATGATGCATTTCTTATGTACTAGATTTTTTTTTCCTTTTAATTTGTATCATGTTCTATTTGCATGGAAATTCAAACTCGATTAAAAATGCACAAAAACAGCATTTTAATTTTTTTATTAAAAAAACTACCTTAAAAGTGATGGATACATAAGAAGAAAGATCATCAGAAGGCTTATCAAAACATATTTTTCATTTAAAACATACATTTATTAACCAAAGAAAATATTGTGTGTAGGTAAGGAATTGGCATGCTTCTTTCTGGTCATATTTCCTTCAAAATGTTAGAACTAGTAGATCTTACTCTCTCTCACCTAATTTTATTCATAGATTGGAACACGAAAACAAGCTTTCTTGCTTTTCAACTCCCAATTCGTCTCTCAACTTTGAATGAACTAATGTGATTGAATTAGTTGAATAAACTGAAATTAAGAAAATATCCTCTTTGCACCTGCAGAACAGGCCAGTGCTGTCAAAAGCTGGTTTAGCACTTCAACAAACTCTGGTTCCAGATGCTTAGCCAGTGATTACCACCAACTCAGTGGTTTGACTTTCTTTAAAACTTGGCAACAAATGTGCTACTTAATATTATTTTTTGTATTTAATTTAAATTGTTTTAGTAGATTAAAGTTAATTTAGGCCTTATTCTATGTTATCAAATTTCAAAATTAGATTTATTTTTAAGCTGTATTTATTTTAAATAAAAAATATCCAACTGAAATTTTAAAAAATCAATTTCCCTCCACCCTGCTTCTGAATTAATACTCACTATAGTAATGGTCCTATGAAGATGTGTGCATCCAGCTTCTACCTTAGTTTTCCACATATGCTTGGACCAGTAAAATTTGATCCCTCTTGGAAAGTGCAGACATGATGCATGTACATGGCTGCAGACAACTTAACTAAAGTGAATCATCACAGATATTTCTTTACAACATTTGCTCAGCTCTAATAAATAAATCTTTGCGAGCACATCGGACTCAGCCCATAATAATCCTAATGACAGCTCTTCAGAAGGAATGGTTAGGATGATACTCAAGAAAAACAAAACAAAAAACCAACAAAAACTGTAGAGAATAGTCCTGGCTATTGTTTGTCACATTTATTCCTATGACAAGAGTCTAAAGGTTTATTCAGTACCTTAATATCTCAATCTTCCTTTCCCAGAGGAATACCCAATTATGACTTCAAAATCGGTAGGATCACATTTATTAGAAATTCACGACCACTAGTCAAGAAAGTTGAAGAGGTGAGTAAACCTCTGTACCTTGCCATATTTGTAGAGAACTTAATACAGTGGAACTAACAGTTGTTGAAGGGGTCTGCATTCCTAGTGGGCCCCAACTCCAGCAAACCTGCTCAAATACTATGACTTGTTGACTGATTATGCAGACCCATCTTAGGTCAGAACAATTAAGAAAAAAAAATATGCTAATTATAAGTGTTATAAATCACTGAAACCTAGTTTAAATAATTTTTTTAATGACATGAGCAAAGTTCCCTTCATGGAAGGCTTTTTTAGGGAATATTGTGGTCCTTGATGTGTGGCTTCAGATCAGCGTGTGATCACTTATCTCATGATAAATCTTCAACAGTGCAGGGCCTTTTCTTCCACCATAGGGTGTAACTCCTATTCAAAGCAGTGGGAGTTATTTGTCCCCTGTGGGGAAAATTGGGCCCCTGTTTGTAGCACAGTAACTATTGTGCGGTCAACCAGCTTTGCCACTAAAGGTCTGTATGTTAGCATTTTAGTGCGATGAGCCTTAATCTCTTTTATCTCTGAAATGGTGAATAACGGTGTGTGGGGGGTTACTGGCAGTAAAAATTAAGAGCTTCTTGCTGAGCATGATCAGATCCATTGTTTAGACTCCCTGGCTTTGCCAATTCACAGCCTGTGATTGCTCATGGAGACCTTAAATTTTAAAACTACTCAATGATATTGAATATTATCTACAGGACAGAAAGCTCTGATGTTCTTATGTTAGCTAACATAAAAAGGTTTGCCTTGTATAAGCTTGGAGGAGGAAATATAAAATGGAAGTGATGCAAAGGGATTTTGAATTAAATCTACAAAAGGTCACTGAAACACTAGCAACTTTTGGGGAAGGAACCTGTTTTCTGTGTAAATTTATGGATGTGAAATGTCAGTAGCCAGTGGAGTAGTGCTTTTATGATGGAATGTTGTCTGAAGCAGGTCTTCTCTTTGTTCAATAATAACAAAAGCTGAACCTAAACAAATCTCTTCTCCCTCCTACATCCAGGATGACTCTGGCAGCCGGTTCATTGCATTTTCAGGAGAAGGCCAGTCCCTGCGCAAGAAGGGAAGAAAACCATAAATTATGGAATCTTTTGGCCAATTGGGGAGAATAAAATAACATTGCAGTGCATTGGATCTTAGTTATTGGGTTTGAGAGAAGGGAGGCTATTGGTCATATATAACACATGGACACTTTGGTTTTGATTTTACTTTAAAGTGGAGTTAACAATTTAGGAATTCTTATTTTTCAATTGAAAACTAAGCTCCAGGAGCTTGCAGTGGTTATTTTGTTTGCTGGAAAGAGGGGAAGTTGTTAGAGAAACCTAAGAAACCAATCCACCAAGCTGTACCTTATTCAAAGGATCAATGTTTTTCTGCTGGCTCAATTCTGAAGACTAGATACTACTTTATTTGATATCCCCCATGATGATGGTATCATGTTGCTCTGAGCTTGTTAATTTTCCTTGTACGTTTGTTTACCACACTTTCAAACCACCTTTCCGGTGCCATGTTCTCCACAAACCAAGTCACGTGTTTAGGTGGCATAAGCCCTCCATGGGAGGACTTTATCTGATCTTTAGGCTGGTTTCTTACTTAACGCCTAAGAAAACAAGAAGTCCCAAGCTCTGACGGAGAACCAAATACTTTCCTTGTCAGTTGTAATTAAATATATGGCTTCATACCTTTCTAATAGTTAAGATACAATAGGTCAGCTTAATATCCAGCAATTACAAGTCAATCAGCAGCATAGATAGGGATGGTAAGGACATGACTTCTTGTGAGTTGTGCTGGATAACTGAGTACAAATGTCCAGCTCCCTCTTCTTTTAGAAGAGTGGTGTGTTTCCCACATCTGACACAGGGTCTTTAATCTTCTTTTCCTCTTCCTTTTACATTGACATGATCTAGTTTGTGCAGCCTCCCTAAAAATGGCGTAACTTTTCTTTACTCAGCTATACCTCCTCCTCAAGCCTGGCTTAAGGCAGGGCTCAGGGGCTGTCCATGTTTGATTACTCGCAAATAAAGCAATAGACATTTTAAAAAATGCTACATCAGAAAAATCCACTGCATCCTGCCCATCTCTAAAGCCAAAACACTATTTCCCTACAATGTGACCTACACCAAGAGAAGGCTGATAGAAAAACATGCATTTTGAAGGCAACTGTGTTTTTACATAAAAACCATTCCACATCTGCTGGCCTATGGGAGGTGGGCTACTACCTTTTATCGCTCCAGAAGTGAATCAAACAAGAATGGCATGATCCTCTGCTATCTGCCAGAACTGACCATCTAGAAATATACAGTAGACAACAGTGAATGATCATTCATAGCTGTCTACAACAACTTCCTTAGTCACATAATAGAAATTGGATGGATCTATTATGTCAAAAGCAAAACAACATTTATCTCCTCCTAGTGACTCTTACGTGATGAGTAAGAGTATTGGTACCCATAGCAATGGCTCTCATTTACACAGTTCAAGTCTGAAGTACCCTGGAGTACAGTGACAGCTGGAGTTGGGGGGGGATGTGTTTGCTTTCGGCTCATCTCTATCCACCATGTCTGTTGCATTTATAAGACTTCTCAAATCTCCTTAGTAAGGCAGTTTTACTCTTACCAAAGGTGACCATACAGTCAAAGGTTTGCAACTAGTGTGTGGTTCATGAGAAACTTCATTTTAATTATAGATTTTGCTAACATAATTTATAATTAAGCATATATAATAAACATTATAACAAGTTATTTTATTTCAACTAGAATTGCTTTGTAGTAGGTCTTTCCGTGTGAGGTGAATGTAACATCCCTGAGCAGCGGATGTTGAATGTGTGCACTGGGGAAAACAGGTGTCTGGGGTGGGGGGAGAAGGTAGCAGGGCCCTTCCCTATTATATAAAATCTGAAGAATTTTGTTGAAAAGAGCAATCATGCAATGAGCTGTATAACATTTATTTAATCTTCCCTGGTGTGAATAGAGCTATGCACTCACGTGGGCCCTCTCATCTCTAGGGTTATTGCTCCTCATTGGTCTTGTGGCCAAAGCATTATCCCCTATTTCTTAGTCTGAAGTCCTGTTGGAGATGACATCTCCTAACTGCTCTTCCTGTTCTTCTGTTTGGCAATACTGTTTCCCAAGCTGTGGAGGTGGATCACTGGTACCTGTACTGGGACCTGTGCTGTTCAACATATTAATAAATGACCTGGTAACGGGAGTGAACAGTGAAGAGGAAAACTTTGCAGATGACACAAAGTTATTCAAAACAGTAATATCCAAAGCTGACTGCAGAGCACTGCAGGGGATGTCACAAATGTGGGTGACTGGGCAATAAACTGGCCGATTAAATTCAATTTTGAGAAATGCAAGTAATGCACGTTGGGAAAAAATAATCCCAACTACACATACAAAATGATGTGTTCTAAATTAGCTGTTAACCACTCAAGAAAGAGATCTTGGAGTCACCATGGATAATGCTCTGAAAACTTCAGCTCAATGCATAGCAGCAGTCAAAGAGGCTAACAGAATGTTAGTAACTATCAGGAAAGGGATAGAAAAATAAGAGAAACGATCATCATGCCACTATATAATCCTTGGTGCACCCACACCTTGAATACCGTGTCCAGTTCTGGTGGTCTCATCTGAAAAAGAATATAGTGCAACTGGAAAACATTCAAAGCAGGGGGACGATGATGACAAAGAGTATGGAATGGCTTCTGTATGGGGAGAGACTAAAAACATTAGTCCTGTTCAGTTTAGAGAAGAGGCAACTAAAGAGGGATCTGATAGAGGTCTATAAAATTATGAAAGATGTAGAAAGTGGATAGAGACGTATTATTTTCCCTTTCCCACAATACAAAGAAACAAAACAGAGGGAGGGGGCCTTCACTTGATTAAATTGACCTGTGGAACTCACTGCCATGGTATATCCCAATGGCCAAAAGTATAGCTGGGTTCAGAAAAGAACTAGATAAGAAAACTGAGGATAGACTATTAGTCAAGATGGTCAGGGATGCAACGCCATGCTTGAGGCAACCCTAAACCTCTGACTACAGAGACTGGGAGGGGGAAGCCAGGGGAACACTGCACTCTCTACACTCCCTTTGAAGCTCTGGTACTGGCCACTCTCAGAGACAGGATACCGAGATAGCTCAACCATTGGTGTGACCCAGTATGGCAGTTCTGATGTTCCTATGGGAAAACCTGGGGTCAAAGAATTAATTGTGACTTCTGCATAACATCATTTAAGCCAACATGAGTACCCTCTTTTTGCACCATTAAATAACAGAAAACATGCAGCTAGAGCTAAATTCTGTGCATAGGGCATGGGGATTAATTAATATTCTAAATCCTTAATTTGGAAATGAAACCATGCCCAAAGAAAATGACAAATAAAAATAATCTGCAAGTTATGATTTACATTATACAATTATTGTCCACTAAGCAACCCTGTCCAACCTGAGAACAAGGTGGATCACAAAACACACCCACCCTTAAAAAGTTACTCAACAGAACCCATCATACACAAAAAGGAAAAATAGCACGTCCCTCCCAGCACCATAAGTTACAACTGAACAGTTTTACAAAACAAACACAAATTTTCTCGCACACACAACTTGTTCTGTTTTTTTCACACCATTAGGTAGCTTCACCGAAGTGAAGCCTCAAAAAATTAGATAGAAACTCATAAATGTTCCTCTCCACGGAAATCTTTAGTAAAAGGCGAAAGATTTATACGATCTGAAGAGAAACCAGAGTATACTCAACGCTTTGCAGAAGGGCTCCCAGGGCAACAGCAACACTTCACTACCTCACGGTGACTCTCCTGACGGGTGGCTAAACCCCCCGTTTTTGCAGCCTGTTGCACGGGCCCGATTAAAGCGCGCGTTTGCTCCTCGGAACCACGGTCCCTGCGAGCAAACCCAGCCCATGGATCAGGGACGCGGCTCAGGGTGCGCAATGCATCACGGGGATGAAAATTAGCATTCCCGGGTAGATCGGGGAGGGCGGGGGGAGCCCCGGCCTCCGAGCTGCGGCTGCGGCCCCTGGAACGCGGCTCTGGGCGGGGCGCTGGCGCGCGGGCTCCCCGCAGCCCACGAGTTACCCGGAGCCACGCGCGAGACGCCCCCGGGCCGGGAGCCTGCGGGGGCAGGTGCGGTGCAGTCGGGCTCGGGGCGCTGGTCGCTCCCGTTTGCCCGCGAGAAAGGGCCGGTGCAAGGGCCGCTGAGCCGCCCCGGCCGAGCTGGTGGGGCCGGAGCGGCCACTGCCCGGAGTCTGCAGGGGCTCCCGCCCCGGGGCAGCAGAGATCGGCCGGCTCCGCCCCAGCCTCCGCCGCCCCCTCTGCAGGCCGCGCAAGGAACAAGGGGGCTGTTACTCCTCTCGCATCTGCAGCCCACTGAAATGTTCACACGTGTTGGATCCTCGGGATACAGAGAACTGCACAGCACTGTGCTCCGAGAGACTCGGGGAAATGGTCTCTTGGGGCTGATGCTGGAGCCCTTACTCAGGTTAGTCAGTGAGCACTTAGTCTCGAATAGGGCTCCTCACGTAAGTGCTCACCAAAGTAATGGCTGCCCAGTGTGACCCCAGGGTTCGCAGACTCAGGACTGCAGTTATTGGGGCAGCAGATTATTAATTACTGTTATTTAATATTTTTAATATGGCAGCACCCAGAGGCTCCGATCAGGATCAGGGCCCCACTGCTCTGGGACTAGACAAAAAGGTAGAAAAGTTCCCTGCCCTGAAGAGCTTACAGTGAAAGAAGACAAGTGTTATACAAAGTGTGGAGAAAAGAGAGACAAAATGTTTTCAAAATCCCTATCAAATCCTCTCCTGGCTAAAAACTCAGTTATTGGTCACACACCTGTGTATAAGAAGATTCACTTGAGTTGCATGGTTGGAAAGCCCAAGTGGTTACACATCTGAGGTTAAACAGTAATTTGGTAATTTTATTGAAATCCAGAAAGAATCAAAATCTGTCCCTAATTGAGAGAGAGAGAGATGGGGAGTAATCTTCATTCTTGTGAGTTTTTCAGTAGCTATTACATTGATTTTATAATAGAATGGGCCAAATTCTCTCCTGGCATAAGAAAGGCAAAGCTCTGCTGGTGTAAATGGAATTACATGCATTTACACCAAC